CCAAATCATTAAATAGGAAAAACCCTTTCTGTAGTCGTCAAAAAATAAACTGAAATTCAGTGTAATATGGTTTGTATATAAAACACCCACTTGAATAAACAAATAAATAAAGAGATAATCAAATAGACAATAATAAAACACAATCCTCCCGACACATAACGACTTGTAGGCGCGCCATAAAAATATTCCTCACTGGGAACCAACTAAAGGATGACTGTAAACATTAGCCTTGAAATAGATACCCCTACTCAACCTTAGCAAAACCTCTCAGAAGATGATGAATCTATAGATAAGAATTAACTCTCTGACCACTAAATGAAGAAAACTCGCCTAGCCACTCCCACAATAACGAATGTTATAATGGTCCATGCCTAAAAACACACGTAAACCAAGAGATAGCCTATTCCTAAAATTTCACTTGAAGATGAAACGGGACTAAACACCTCAATTCAACTTAATTTTAATAACTATTTGGATGGTTTCGGCTCTCGTTTTTGAAACATGAGAACTCTTAGGTAGCAAAGGAATCATATTTTTAAACAAAAAAATATTCTAATATAAGCTGTACTTCTGTATGGAGCACTGTCTTCTTAAAAATAAAAAACAAAAATAGTAAGGAACTCCGGATTATGCACCCAACGTGTTCTTTTCTATTTTCTGCATACCTGTGCACTTATATATATATATATATATATATATATATATATATAAATAATAAATAAAAATCTAATAATTAGTGTTTAACATCTTTGCTGTCACTTCTCTAGAATAAAGAACACTTTCATATTTTTTGATTTTTTTAAAATTCTAATCATCGCTTTTTTAAACAATAAACATTGCTGAGGGAGACAAGAGTGTATACAGTAATAGTGATCTTAAGGGAATAATTGTTCTTTTGAGACAACATTTTCTTGTGGCCCTGAAGGTTAAACATTGCAAGATTTTTTTTTTCAATGTTAAGTTTCACAAAACTGAGACATGTCTGTGATTTTCGTCACTTCTAATTACAAATCTAAGCAAATATGACTGTCAAATTGATAATGAATTTATGCAAATCTAAATGACTGTCAGGTAAGTATACAGTCATGAAAAAAGTGAAGATTTATTAGAATAAAATGTATAAGATTTATTTTAATCTTAAAGTAACATTTTTTTCATTCTTTTATTTAAAAATAACTTTAAAAAATAGTTTAATGCAAAACTGTAAAGATTTTAACTCCCTCCCAAATCTAAATTCTTGTGCCAAACATAAGAGGAGAGTTAGTTGGAATAAAAAGGGAAAAGAGAACATGTGCTTCTTTTCTCCTTGAGGTCAAAATAAATGCAACTATTAGAATAAGACTCAACCAATGAATTAAATTTGAAAGTAAAAACATTTATCCCTTATTACACAAGTCAAGACAAAGAAAGTACAAATAGAAAATTTTGCTAAAAAAATTTCCTTTTGTTTGCATATTAAGACCGGATAACAATTTCTGATAAAAAGGATTACCATCAAAAAATTGAAAAAATTATGATTTCAGTTGAGAAAAAGACATAAGGGTTTTGAAAATGATGAAAGAGAAAGCAATTCAAGAAGGTGGAAAAACAAAGGTGCAAAAACTTTTATAAAAAAACAAAATATCTACTTTTACTTTCCTCGTGAGCATCTCTGGAACATATAGAATTTTAGAAAAGTCACTTTTAAATTTACGCTGTACATGGGAAAATTTCTTTGGATTCTTTCCATTCTTTGTTGTCCAATCATAGAATTTTCACTTGAACTTCAAAATTCTTTAGTCTCTCTGCAACTTGTAACCATTTGCCTTCTTGATGTTCTCTTCTTGATGTCAAATAACTTCTGCTCCTTGATATTAATTTGCCTTGTCCCCTTGCTGTCTAAAAGTCTTCTCCCCTCATCCACTTACCTGAGTTCTATTTATTCCAAACAATAGGCTCCCAGCAGTCCCTCATTTGGGTTCTTCCTAAGGCTTCAGACCACATCTCTCATTGATTAGTATATACAAAAAAATAATTTTCCATAATTTGATCCTTCAAAATTTTGACAGTCTTCAACCGCTGAGCTCAAAAAGATATGCACGTGTAACAATTTTTTTACACAAACCATCTAGCCTTCATAAGAATACACGTCTCTCAAAAGAACATGTATTAAAAAAAAAAAACAACCTAGACGATTAAACATTTATTCAAGACATTTTTAAAGCAGTAAAAATAAAATGTTTATAAAACTGCTACATCACTGTGTGGCAGTAGCTGTTATTACGTTTATCTTAGGACTGTTTATTTTTAAAAGTATGTGAAGAAAATTTTAATAAAAATGGAAACAAGGAAAGGAAAAGAACAATTCTACTTAGAAAGAGGATAGAGGGCTTGTAGAATTTGACACTCACAGGACATTGAAGGCAAGAGAGGCAAAGGGAAATTGAGTAACCTACTTAACAAGTATGTGTAAATGGATGGCAGAACAGGGAGTGATAATAAAAAAAACATTGGTAAGAGTAAAAAAAGTCTGGCAGATGTGGAGAGCCACGATTGCCCACATCCTGAAAGGGTATGTACGTACAGCACAGTACATAGAAAAAGAAGACTGAACAGTTTATGTCTGTGCATTAAATAAAGTGTTAAAAATTCTTTGAAGTTTACTAAATATATCAAACACTTGAAGTAAAGTAGAGAGTTCAATGCCAGAGACTTTGGATCTATAATGACCAAGACAAGACATATAAGTCAACCTTTTTAACCCTAGAATACTAACCATGAGTATATAGTACCCAGCACAAATTTTCCTATTTTTAATTACAATTTTCAGTACCTAATTTTCTTATCTAAATAATGTTTTTCAGTTCCTTTTAATGTTAACTCAAAGTACAAAGTTTGAAGTGCCTGCATGTAAAATATTTCAAATAAAGATTTATATTTAATATTTTTTTTGATATTTTAAAAATCGGGTATGATATACCCATGGTTAGTAGTGGGGTAACCTTAATTGATGGTTAGTGTTCTAGGGTTAAACATAAAAACATCTCAAAACTAAGGTTCAACTCGTATGCAGATAAAGTTGTTGATATATTGCAGAGGCAAAAATTAGTTGCTAAAATGTGAGTCTTTTTGTTGCCTACTAATTCTGTGATGCTAGTCAAGTACCATAAAATAATGACTCCCATTGTTCTTGAACAACATTCCACAATATAATATATTCCAGGATCGACTATTCATTTTATGTAACAGCCACATACAATAAACTTGAAATATTTGACAGCTGCAGACATAAACAAATTTGTGCACGTTTTCAATGTTACGTATTTTGTAACAAAAATTTTATATAAATGGTACATGCCATCAAAAAATAACAGAAATATTTAAGTTATTCTGTAATTGAATTGGTTATATTTTTTTCTTTGAGTCATGTAGGATTTTTATCTATCCAATAAACTCTATTGTCATATATAAAAAGAAAAAAAAAATAATTTGGCCTATTAAATCATTAAAAGTAAAAATATCCAAAGAAATATATATTAGCAAACATATCTCCCTTACCAGTGTAAGGGTCTTGTGGCCCCCCACTTTACTACTTCTCAATTTTGTAATGTAGTATTTATATAAAATGCGCATTTTATTGTAATCTAATTATGTACAATAATGGATCATATGTGATATAGATGAACAATTCAACTAGAAAAATTAAAAATGTAATACAATGTATCTAAATACAAATTAGAGACATATCATATTATTCCATTTTAAATAAATCAACAATGTTTTGTGGTAATTTTTAATATCAACTTGAAGTTTTTTTTGTTAAAACGTTGAAGAATTTTAACACATTCAACATTATAGATAAAAAAAAAATAGTGAATTTTGTATAGTGTTTTTTTCAAGACTACTATAGCAAAATAAATTCAGATTTGGACAAACAAAAAAAAAGACCCCAAACAATGTCAAAATTTGCAAAAATATTTCATACTTTAATATTAAGTTATGCTTAGTTTAATTTGTAATGTATATAAATGTAGGTAAAAAGAAGCAAATGTTGATAAGATAGCAAGAATCACAAAGCACTGCTTTGGGCACCCGATCAGGCTCTCCTCCCGGATGAGGGTGTTGGGAGCAGTATGCACCTGCCCTGTCCCCTACTTTTTAATGAGATTCCATTGTTATGGTAACACCAGGTATATTCACTTTATTGGGGCATCAAGTTACAATAAGAATGGAAATCTTGTTGCATGATTTTTAATAATCCTAAAATACACACACACTCTCTGATGTGCTAAAAATTCATAGGTTAGGTGCTTAGTATTATGCAAGAACCTTTTTAGCCTGGCAAGTGCAGCAAATTGATATGGTATTAATTTCCAAAAGTGGTCAAAAGAGTTCTCGGGTGATGTTCATTGATGTCAGAGCTCTGATATTTTTAGGTGCAGGATTTTGTGTGCAAATAGACCTCTTCATCACATCCCTTAAATTCTCAATTGGGGGAATCTTCAAAGGTTTCCGGAATACTTCTCAAACCAATTTTGGGAAACTTAGGCTCAATGACACTGTATACTAGCTAGAATAACCTACTGTTGTTTATGGTACATGGAATCTATGGATGGATACAAATGGTCACAAAGGAATGCAGCATAACAGCTACTTGTCGATGATATGTTTAAAGTGGTCCAGTAGATACATCTACCAGGCCATTATGAAATCGCCACTAGTCCTCATAGTACTTTGTTGATAACTGGGCCCTGTGGTCTCAAAGGGTCTGCACTAGACTTGGACATTACTATCAACCTGAAGCAACTGGTACTATGACTCATCAGACCATACCAGTTCTTTGGTATCAAAATTGTCAACAATGCGAGCCCAGATAAGGCACTGCATCTAGTATTGTGTTAACAGGAGCACCTTGGTGGCTCTTCTGCTCTCATATCGCAGGGAAACTTTAGAACACTAAACAAACATGCTGGATACATGGAGGTGAGTCAAGTCAGTTTTACCACAGACAAATGTAGGCTTATGGCCACATCATTTTGAAACCCCGATTCCCGTACGATCCCTGAAGTAAAGCAATGTCATGCCTGGTCAGTACCTAGATGGGTGACTGCTTGGAAATACTAGGTGCTGTAAGCTTGAATGTGCATGTGGTGCAATGGATAATGACTTGGAATTGTTAATTGGAGAGCCAAGTTACAACTCCATTTGGGTTTGTTATATTAACTTACATGCAAATAACCTTGGGAAACGTATGAATCCACCACTTCTCCCCCCAGCTATGGGTTAATTAGTAAGAGTTGTATTACTGAAACCATTATTATCTCTAAGATAAAATTGCATAAAAATATTTAGATTTCGGCATTAGAGGTTGATATGCTATTAATCAAAACCAACCAACAGGCAATTCTCAACAGATACCACTTATTATTATTATTAAGGATGTCGTCAGCTACTGTGCAGTCCATGATGGGAAGTAATATCTTCCATTAAGTATTCCTGGTGAACATGTAACACTAGAGTGAAGGACATCAAATGTCTCCACATAATAGAATGTCACTGCTCTTTGGCACCCACTACAATAGCTTACTCAAACCTTTGCTATGAGTAACCTAACCATTGTTTACATTGGCACACCAGATGTCGGTTCAAAATTGATATAAGTTTAGCTGTTACCATGACATCAAGATTTGGTGGCACCATCAATGATTAATTGCCTTTACATACTGGTTCCTATGACAGTGTATATACAAAACCTTTTCAAAAGCTTGACTGATGACCGTTTTAAAAATATTGTGAATTTTTAATAATAAATATTAAACTATACACACAACAAAGAAAATATATGAATTTTTATTTCTGTTAAATGAAAATTATACAGTCAGAAATAATGATAAATATAAATCTATTTATCTATCAAATTCCATGACTTCTATTAGTCCATCTGACACAACTTCTAAAATAGCCATACATTGACTGGTCAAAACCAAAATTTGGGGTAGAAGTGTAAACAGGGTACAAAGGGGGTACAAATTACAGTTGGTTTTAGTAGCATGCATAGCTTAGTACAATAAATTTTGATTCAGTTTTTAGGAAAAAAACGTTCTATCGTTTAACATACAAAATACTCCTACTATTTTACAAACAATGATTAAAATAACAAATACTTATTTAATAAAAATGCAATATTGTCTTTTGCATATCTTTTTAAGTTTTTATATACAAGAATCCAGTTTCCAGTTCACCCTGCGTTTGCGGGAACTATAAACAAATCACAAGGCCAAGCACTTCAAAAAGTTGGAATTTGGCTCCAGAAAGAAATATTTATGCGTGGCCAGATGTATGTTGCATGCTCAAGAGTAAGAAATCCTAAGAATTTATTATTTGATATTAAAAAGAAAAAAAGAAATTTTCTTAAAAATATTGTTTACCATGAAGTCCTATAAAATTAAAATAAAAAAATTGTTAAACTGCAAAGTAGGGATTTTTTCTTACAAACAAATCGCCCTATTCAAATTTCATCAATCAGTTTGCAAAATTGAACAAAATGTAGAGTTTGTAAATCTTGACAAAAATGTTAGCAATATTAAATACTGTGAAGATTTCAACAGTGTTATCTTGTTGCAAAAAAAATTTAGTAATTATAAAACTTGAATTTTTTTTTATTGATCTCTTATATTAATTGCAATGAGAAAGAGGAAAACAAGACCGGCCAATAAATTTCCACAACCTACACATTAATGATCAAAGAAATGCATGAAAATTGTCTACTCCAATTATATAAGGGTGGGCTGAAAAGTTCATAGGCTGACAATGAAGGAATGATGCTAGAGCCATGAAATCTTGCATTCATTTCAACTCTTCTTATTAATAACTGCATTGTTTCTTTTGCAGTACGAAACTGGACTGAAAAGTCATAGGTTGACTATGAAACAGTGATGTGAGAGCTATGAAATCTTGCATGCATTAATTCCAACTTTTCTCATTAAGACTGTTCAAAGAAGACTTAAAAAGGAATTAATAGCGACTTCTTGAAAATGGACTAAATTTGGCATCAAGTATTTGCAATAAAAGGGTTTAGTTCCCCAAAGGACATTCATGCTGACATGGTTGTTACATTAAGTGATGATGATCTACCTTTATCAACAGTACAAAAGTGGGCAGCTGAATTTAGGATGGGAAGGTAGAGTCTTTAAGATGACCTAAGGTCTGGATATCCTACAACTGCCAACACTGAGGAAAACATTAATCATGTTTACCACATGGTGATGGATAACAGGCGATTGATTATAAATCAGCCAAATTGATTAGCATATCCTGTAAGAGAGTTCAGGATATTCTGCACAATGAACTTGGCATGATGAAAGTTTCTACTTGTTGGGTGCCATGTCTTCTAATGCCTGATCAAAAGTGTACCAGGCTGATCACATCACAGGGAAATCAAACATTGTTTGAGGCTAATCCAACTGGTTTCCTTAAATTTTTTTTTAACCCAGGATGAGTGTTGGGTTCATCACTTTGAGCCAGGGACAAAAAGACAATCCATACACTGGATACAACCCTCCTCACCTGTTCCAAAGAAGGCCAAGGTCGTTTCATCTGTAGGGAAGATGATGGCCTCAGGTTTTGGGAATGCAAAAGACATTATTGATTATCTTCAAAAGGGCCACACCATCAATGGAAGCTACTATGCCGATTTGCTGAGGGAGTTACAAAAGACTATCAAGACCAACCACTGAGAAAAACTGACAAAAGGGGTCTTGTTTCATTAGAACAATGCTCCACCAGATAAGTCCTTGATTTCAATGCCTGCTATGCACAAATGTGGCTTCAAACAGGTTGATCACCCTCCCTGTTCTCCTGATTTAGTCCTATCTGCTTATCATCTGTTCCCCAACATGAAAAAACACCTGGCTGTGAACCAGTGTCACAGTAATGATGATGTCATATCTGCTGTCGATGACTTCTTTTGACCAACAAAATGAAAACTTCTTCAACAATGGGATCCAAGCCTTGTGATACTGATGAAAGAAGTATGTGGACCATGTTGAGAAATAAATCTCATTTGGTCACATTCCATATCTTGGTCAGCCTATGAACTTTTCAGCTGACCAACATATAATACCCTAAGTGCATATTTAGAAGCACAATATGTAAACATATGAAATGTATGTCTGTTTGTATGTTGATTTGTTTAATGGCATATCATATTCTCATTATTTCAAAGCTCCCCTAAAAATTAAATTTTGGCGGCATTAAATGACCCATGAGGAATTTATATGCCATTAAACAAACCAAGTAACTCCTTTTAGCAGGCAACAATAGCACTATCTTCTGACTGTAACAGGATTTTGTTTAACATACAAAACAACTGAAGCAAGTGCCTTAAAAAACTTCCGGACTTCCAGAATAAATCAACGATAAGAGAGAAAATGGTTGATAAATTTAATAAATGAAATTTACTGAGGGAACCGTCCTCTTACATGTTGGGTAAAATGAAATCATAAATGAAGATTATTAGTACTAAAAATATTCTTTAAAATACTTCTAAAATCTAAGTAAAACAGTGTTTCATTGTAAAGCAATCACTCTAAATATTTCAGTGCTCTTTTTACATGGATGTTAAAATTGTTGAAATATTGACCTCGAATATAAGCCTACCCCTAAATTTATCAACTGCTTTTTTTTGTTTTGTTTTTTTTTTTCATATATTTCTTGGGTTATTATGTGAGTATATAGAGGAAGTATATTCTAAACCTTTTATTAACATCAGTTGGTTAATAACAATATTATTGTAATTAGGTTTATCATTGTACATTATTCTAAAATATTTTCTAGTTTTTTAAAATCTGGCTTTGTAAAGCAATTATTCCAGATATTTGGGTGCTCTTTTTACATCGATGGTGAAAATTGTTAAAATATTGACCTTAAAGCTGAACCCCTATTTTAGCAAGAATTTTTTTTATATATATAAATATATACAATATATACTTGCTGACATGTTTATATAGGTATGTATACTGTATTCGATGGCAAATAAAATCCCCCTACATTTTACCCCCCCCCAAATATGTCCCAAATCTTATAGGTAAAGCTATCTTGTAGGCTAGTGTTTTATTTTGTTTTTTTAATCATGTCACTCCAAACAAGGCAATAAAGCCACTAAAACCCAAGAAGGGGTTACTGTGAGTCAAGGAAAATGAGAAAAAGTTACTGAAGAGAAAAGACACTAAAAAGAGACGGATTCAAGGAGATAAAACATGACAACTGATGTTGCATTTAATTTTTTGTAGATTTTAGTCGACAGGAAATCAAGCAGCTAGAAGGTGAAAATTAGAAAAGAAGAAACTATTAAAATAGAATTTACAGTTGGGTTAATTAGTAGAACTTCTACCAATAAATCATTATTACCTACAAAAAATTCTTTCAATCTAAAAATATTTTCTGGCTTTAAATAACCGGCAAAAGGTTAATAAGCCATAAAAAATTGATGATCAATTCAATATGTGCAATACGACTACCAATGCTTGTACCTCACCTAGGCACTGGAGACTATCATCACTTGTACCTCACCTTACTACATAAATATAAATCCAAGGCAGGGTCTCATATGTGATTGAATATAGCAAGTCTGTTCAGACTTGTATATATTTATATGTGCATATATTATTCTAGATATACGTGTGTGTGTATATATATATTTATATATAAAAGTGAACGTAGAAGTCAACACTTAGAGGCGACAGTCTGTTTCATTCTAGATGTATTCGTCAGGCCACGCCTGACGAATGCATCTAGCATGAAACATATTGTCGCCTCTAAGTGACTTCTATGTTCACTTTTATATTTACACACGTTCTATCTCTGATCTTGAGCACTTTATCCCATAATTACAGCACATCTTAAGACTATTTCTTTTATATATAAAGTCCAGGTATGCCTATGTCAGTGTAGATGTGTATATGTTTAGATATGTCTTGCTGGTATAAATTATTGCATCTTACTCTTTTTTTTTTTTTTTTTTTTTTTTTTTTTTTCTGTGGTATTTCAGGCAACAGTGAAAGGAATCTTCACCTTGATCTCATCATGTCTATTCTTCCATCTTCTAGCTGTCTGTTTTGGAGCTCCTTTTCTCACGTATGTCAATCTGTATACATTAATTACAATATATTCTCAAATTTAAAAACAAAAAACAATTTCATGTTATTGTCTATAATTTTATGAAAAAGCCATCATCATTGAAAGAGTTGTTTTGGATTGTTAATTTTTATATTTCTATTTATTTAGTTATTATTATTTATAAGAGCTTAATCAAAATGGGTGGAGAAGGCTTTATTTTATTTTTTGAGGGAATTTTCCAGCCTTCAGCCCTAAGTTTATTAAGACTATTTTCTTTATTAATTTTGCATTTGTTGACCATTTAAATCAGTGCTTTAAATCATTTGTTGACAATTTGTAGTTTGAATGAAAGGAAGTAAAAAAAAGATGTAATGTCGCTTACCTCATGGGGAGAGAGAAGTGGGGACAGGTGATCTCTTTTATAGAGAGGCATTAAACCAAACTGGGTAAAAAAAAAAAAGACGTATCGTGGGAAAGAAGAAAGAAACAATAAAACTCCACCAAAATTAGGAGTCAGTGATTTTATTTGTTTCATCAAACTTGACAAAGCAATATACAAGTTGGAAAGGAAAAAAACGATTCTGTCTATATTTCTGAGATGAGGTATTATGTACATTATTTACATTATTCAGACTATCATCCTCATCTTTGTTGCCATATTTCTCACAACATTTAAGCCATTGTATGCTCTAGCCTTCTTCAGGTGGTTGGAATGTTGAACTGAACCCTTTATTTCGCTCACTGGGGTAGACTGTTCTTATCCACTGTGCCATGTATCCTTAAGGACACATGGCACAGTGGATAAAGGCATTGGTTAGATCCAGTGACAGTATGAGTTCAATACCTGGTTAAGGCAGTGGAGAACTTCGAGAGGTGAATTAACAGGAGATAACTGATAACTGACATCCATTAGACATGGCACGTGGAACTAGAACAGTCTGCCCCAGCAAGCGAGATAAAGGGTTCAGTTCGACATTCCAACCATGTGAAGAAGTCCGGAGCGTACAACGGCCAAAACGTTATAATAAATATGGCAACAAAGATGAGGACAATAGTCCGAATAATATAAATGGTGAAAAAAAAGAATATGCAAGAAAAGATGTAAGAGACACGGAGGAAGAAGGAGATTTGAGAGTAATGGAGGATGAGAGAGATCCTGAGAAAAGCAGAGTAGACTGGAACTACCAAACCCCACTTACTTCGCACCAATACACCCACTAGCTTTTTTTTTTTTTTTTTTTTCTTTTTTTTTTAAAACTTTCAAACTGCACAATTTAAATCGGTGCTTTAAATAATTTGTTGACCTTTAAATCATTGCCGCCTCCTTGCATATGCCAAAGCACAACCATAATGCCCCCTCACGTCCAACGTATAATCAATCTTTGATTGGACTTTCTTGGTGCTAGTATGTCCTCATCTGTTGTCGCCATATTCACAACCTTTCATCCTTTGTACATGCTGGCCTTCTTCAGGTAATTGGAACTTCAAACTAAATCCTTTATTTCATCCACCTGGGTAAATTGTTCTAGTTCCATGTGGCATGCCTCTTGCAGACATCTCACTATCAGTTATTTCCCTTCAATTCAACTCTCCAAGTTAGGGTTCACCTATGCTGTATCCAGGTACTGAACTCACAACTCTTTGGGTCAAGCCATTGGATTACTTCAATCAACACCCAGCAGATAAAACCGTTGGTTGAAGTAATCCAGTGATTTGACCCAAAGAGTTGTGAGTTCAATACCTGGCCACAGCAGAGGTGAACAAAAACTTGAAGAGTTGAGTTAGTAAAAAGAGAATTAGCTGAAATGGCATGGCATGTGGAATTAGAACAATCTACCCCAGTGAACTAAATAAAGAGTTTGGTTTGAAATTCCAATCATCTGAAGAAGGCCAAAGTGTACAATGGCTGAAATGTTGTGAATATAGCAACAAAGATGAGGACAACAGTCTGAAAAATGTAAATAGTGTAAATAATTAAAATACCTCATCTCAGAAATATAGACAGATCCTGAAGATTGCCGGAGCGTACAATGGCTGAAACGTTGTGAATATAGCAACAAAAATGAGGACAACAATATAATAATATAAATAGTGTAAATAATTACAATACCTCATCTCAGAAATAGAGAAATTGTCTTTTCTTGTTCTGTGCAGAAAAATAAATTTTTTGGACACAATATTCCCTGCTGATAAAAAATTGGTTCATTATAAGAATCCCACCAAAAGATAATATAGACTAGATTCAGGTCAGCCATCAAAATATTTTAGTCATTGAACAAAACACAACGCACTGGTAGCGATCATTATCAATAGCATAGAATGGAAGTTAAACAAATGTGTTTCATGTCGGAAGTCGCATTGCCTTGCCAATATGCTTTTAATTAAATTTGATTATTTTGGATCTTGACCTGATCCAACTCTAAACCTGTTGACCTGTGGTCTGGAGATGATGTGATGCACTCTTGAGGCACTGATCAGTGGTACCTACCTTCAAAAGGAAAGAAACGAATGACTGTCCAAGGAATCCACAGCACTCAACCTCAATGGGTAGCACATGGTTTGTCCACCCCTTTTCCATACATAAAGTATATAATACATCCAAAAACTTTCTTCAAGCTTCTTGCTTTCCAGTTAACTTTGATCTTTTGTCTTCTTAATTCCTGTTTTTTTTTTTATTGTTCCCCCTCCTTAATTGTGTTTTGTAGTCACATATTCTATTGCACTCAGTGATCCCTTGCATATTAGTAGCTTTCTGATTAAAAAAAAAAACACACACACACACACACACATATATATATATATATATATATATATATATATATATATATATATATATATATATAGTATAGCAGACATTGAGACATTATATATATATATATATATATATATATATATGTGTAATGTCTGCTAACTCACCTATGTTTATTCTCTCCCCACTCACTTCCTCAATTTACATAAGTTTAATACGGCCCGTCAAAAATGTGTAAATTTTCTTTTCATTTTTTGTTTGGAAGTAAAGTCTGATGATCCGCAGTCCTTTTAAAAGGGCTGTGATGAAGTAATTTATTACATGGAACCTTAAAGTGGTCTGTTTTTTATTCAAACATATTTGCTCTGAATTTACATTGAGCTCTCCGGATATCATCCTCCTTGGGTCTACCCATACGGATTACCTAGTTTTTCATAAACTATATATATATATATATATATATATATATATATATATATATATATAATAATAATACTCGTTTGGAAAACTTTGGATAGCTCAACTTGTAGATATGTCAAAACAAATCGGTACCCGAGGAAAAAATTGGAAATAAAAAAAAAAAGAAAGAACTAAAAACATAAGAACAAACAAATTATCCAGTGCCTTAAGTCCTTAGTCCAAAGAAAAAAATAAAAATATGTATTATGGTAGCTCATTATAGTTATTTTCCAAGTGTAGCTTAGATGTGGCACAAGGCCAAAAGTATGGGGCACCTAGTGAGGATCGAACTCACTTTTCAGTTGTAACTGATCTAGCGAGACAAGTTTGCTAACCATTACACCAAGCCGAGGTGCCCATGGTAGCTCATTATAGGAACAAGTACGGTAAAAGCAAACGGGGTGATAAAGGTGCAACTATTGCTGAGAGGTAGCTGTGAAGAGCTATGATCGTCCACGTCCTGAAGGGACTAAACACACTGAGAAAGGTTATTACTTTAATGCCTCGTAAATAACTCCTTGTAGAGATGTCATGAGTTATTTCCCTTACCATAAAACTATATTTAAAAAAAAACAAAAGTTAAAAAAAGATCTATAATAATTTCATTTGTTTGCATAGCACCCAGAAATCTAAGTGATGCCTAACGTCATTACTGCAAAATTAACCAAGAAGAATAAAAGTCTAATTTAGTATGAAATAAAGAGTGTGCCCTCTATCTTTATGGTCAGTCTTGTGTTAGGTTTATTCAGTGAGTCTCTTTTTGTAGAAATTTTAAAAACTATTTTTTGGTGAAGTCTTCACAGTATTTAGTATTGTTGAAGTTATCGCTAACATTTTTTTCATGATTTACAAACTCTACATTTCATTCAATTTCGCAAAACAATTGTTTTTTTTGTTTTTTTTAAATTTTAATTAATTTACTTGGAAAAATTAATGAAAATGTATTGTACTAAGCTATGCATCCTAGTATGACCAACTGTATTTTGCATCTCCTCCCCCAAATTTGGTTTCAATTGGTCAATATATGGCTATTTTAGAGGGTGTGATGGAAAAATGGACTAACAGAAGTCATAGATTTTCATATATAGATAATCCGAATAATTAATAATTGGTTTTGGAGTAAGGTATGCAAAATAGGAAAGGTGTATCTTGTTTACATACACTCTTCAAAATTAACAAAAACCTTATCATATTATATACTTTACAGCACTTTCTCAATTATTCATACATTTTGAAATCATCTGAACATTTTTCAGTCATCCAAATTAAACCCATTCTACTATTTTATGTTACTCAATGTTGGATAAAAATGCTGGTAAAATGTTTAAGTTGTTTGTGCCTCCAGTCAGAAGATGCCCTTACAAATACATCTATGTTAATCCATCTTAATGACAGAAAAATACGAGGTCAGCTGGAACAAGACAAAAATTGATGCATTATTTCCTCAAAAATAAACTGGACAAAACCATGTACAAAGCATTTGAAAATGATATCTGATGATAAAAATGTTTTTTTTTTTTTTTTAGAAAATGACTTTTTTCTTCATTTTTGTCCATAATTAAAGGATTCAGTTATATCCAGAATTTTGAATTATTCCCAAAACTCTTTTTCAGTCCAATTGAAGAGATACTGTACAAAGCAAAAGACACTGGCTTTGATGTGAACCGTTTTGATTACTAGTTTTACTCCATATTACTTATATTTACTTTTTATCACAGTACAGGAAAATACAGAAATAGTTTTTTTTTTTGTTTTTAACTGTGGATGGTTTTCATTTCTCGCATTTCAGTTTTATGGCTTGACTATTATT